GGGTCTCCATCACCTAGGAAATGTTCTAAAAATGTTGGTTAAATTAAATGTAAAATAAATATGTGGTTTTCTATTTGGTTTGATGGAGTAAACAGCAGCTCACACATATCAAATTAAGTTCGCTCAGGAAACATAAGGAAATCATCAAGCTCTTTGGTTTTCCATATGGGATAGCAGTTCCATTGTATTTTGAAAATCCTTTTTCCCCTGATGATGAATTTATGATGACATATCTCGCACCTGCCTAAAGCGCATAGATTTTAGGTTGTCTCCCTAGGTAATTCTGTTGCACACTAAAGCTTGAGAACCACTGCAGTAAATGAAAACAGAGCTCCTTTTCTTTGAAATCTCTATGCCAAGAGTGAAATGCACAGAATCCAAAGACTTGGGTCTCTTTTCTAGGATTCGCATTTGGGAGATGATGCACAGAAAGTGAATTTTGGAGCTGAAAAGGTCCTTATAAATCATTTAATTTAAGCCTCTCATTTAGAAGATCAGCAATTATATCTAGAGTTTCTTTGGCAGTTTAGGGCAGAACAGAAATCAGAACACAGGTATTCTGAATTTCAGTCCAATGTGTTATCTCCACGTGTCAGCAGTACTGTGGACAGGCACATGTATTAGCAGAGTTTTCTGGCTGGTAGCAGTAAAGTCTTTCCAACAGATGCAAGCGTCTTGAAGAAGAGCTATCATTTTTCTAATATGCAAAAAGATGTAACATGGGCTTGTGGCAGGCAGCCCTCCCCCTTTTTCTTTCAGGTATCTTATTAATATACAGTGTGGAGGCTCTAATCTCAATAAGAAAATACAATAAAGATGCATTTTAAGAAAATTTGAATTATACAAAGTTGAAATTGCTGATACAGAAAAATATTACAAAGCTTTGCTACATAAAATTGCAACTTCCTAAACAGCTGCCAAGAACTGCAAATTCTAAAATGGGCCAGTGCAGTGAATTGCAAACCGTGTTCATGGAGTGTCACGCAGAGGCGCTGCATTACATTAGTAGGATGTGATCCATACTTTTATTGATGTGCCCTGGAACCTGCCTGCATGTGATTCCAGTGACCGTTTGCTATTATTTGCACAATAAACTTGTATTTAATTTAATTAATTAATTTTTGAGACAGAGTCTCAAAATTTAGGCTGGAGTGTGGCAGCACAATCTCAGCTCACTGCAACCTCCACCTCCTGGGTTCAAGTGATTCTTCTGCCTCAGCCTGCCGAGTAGCTGGGATTACAGGCATGCACCATCACGCCCGGCTAATCTTTGTATTTTTAGTAGAGACAGGGTGGGCTTCTCCATGTTGGCCAGGCTGGTCTTGAACTCCTGAGCTCAAGCGATCTGCCTGCCTCAGGCTCCCAAAGTGCTGGGATTACAGGCATGAGCCACCATGCTCAGCCTGCACTATCAGCCTTTAACTCAGAAGTTATAGATAACATAACATTCTGAACCTCTAACAACTGCCATTAGTAGCTTACCATCTGTTAATTTAGGAGCGAGCACACCAGAAGGCACTGAAGAGAAGGGTGTAAAGGTAAAATATGGCATTAGGGCCAAAAAAAGAAAATAACCCACACCAACAGCATCGCCCATCGAATGTCTATGTATCTGTGAAAACTAGCCTTAAATTGTGAATATGTTAAACCATGTGATGTGTTCAGGAGGGCATCCCTCACAAAAAAAACGCAGCTTCCCTGACTTTAAACACTCTTCCTGTCTTTACTCCCATGCCTGAAAGACAATGTGTAAAACTGGAAGAAGCCCTAGGGGTTTCCAATTTACCACCACATTTCGTGGTCCAGAAAGGGATATAACTCTCTGGTAAGTCTCCTAGAAGTCAGATCTGCTTTTGCATGTTTTCAATTCCTTTTAGCATATGGTGAGATGCATCATCACGTGTTTTTACTCCAGGCGCTAACAGGGCCGGAGTTTGTCACTAAGTCACCTTCACGGGCATCTTCACAGGCCTCACCTTCATTATGTCTGCTCAACCAACTAAAAAAGAGAGCCAAGTAATCTTATTAACCCCCTTCCCAGAATGATTAGAGGATTAATGAGCTAAACAAAACACTCTCAAGCTCAGGAGAAACACTAGTCTACAAACACGGAGCATGGCAGGCTCTGTGGTCTGCGAGGGGTGACATCTGCAGATGAAGAGAACCGCACCCCCTGCAGCGCCTGATGCCGCCTCGGTCAACTCCATCGGGTCCTTGGTCTTGGTCCATCCAACCGGGGCCGAGCGTGTGCTCCACGTGCCGATGAAGCTGGGGCACCAGAATTTCTAAATTTTAATTAGTATTTATAAAAAGCATCAAGATGCTGAGTGTGGGGAAAATTAGAACTTTATTGGAGGCTTACATTTATTTCAAGGTTTGGTATTGTTTTTATTTGGAATTACATGAATGGGGGCAGGGTAGTGCGATCATCATTTCCGTGCTTAGGGCTTCTCAAGGTCACAAACTGGTTCCAGGTTTACTATTCACTTCAAAAAAATTCACCACAAAATTCAACAATTTATTTCCAAAGGATTACTTCTTTCCAAGCAAGCTGTCTTCATGAAGTACTAAATTCTTTCACCAGTACAGATTTATCAGAACACCTTGGACAGTGCTACAAATCTAAGAAGAAAATTAAGTATCCTTTAGCTAGGGAGTAGCCTCTGCCTTGAGTCAAGGGCTGGTCTGACTAGGTCTAGATGAAATTTTCAGGACCACCATCTTGATGGCTTGCAGATAAGCTTGGATCCTAGAATCTGAGGACACACAAACACACAGAAAGGGCCAGGGTCTGTCAAGGGTCCTTGGTGAGCTCTGTGACCCGTGCTGCTCCTCATTTCTAAATATTCCCGACTTCCCTACTCTTGTGCCCTTGCTGAGACGTGTGTGTGCATACAAACAAAAGCTATATATCTCTACCCTGAGTTTCCACACTTTGGACCCCCTCCAGACACCATTCTGAATATGACACTCTGCTGCAGGGTACTAAAAATGGTTCTTTCCTCAAAATAAAACCTTTAAAGATCCCTTAGTAGCTATTTGGGGACTGGAATTCAATTTCAATTCTCTACCCTTTGGCCAGCTATAGATTCAAAATGCTTACATAAAACATTGAGAGTATGTAGTTCATGGTAAATTTGATTTTTCTTCTGCAATAGAAATTTGTGCTGTAGTTACCACAAACTATATTTTTACTTAGAAAATACACAGAGCAATAATGCACCTCAACAAGAGAGAACAGATCTTTCAAAATTTTATTTTATAGGTAGCTTTGATAAAAGCTTCAGATAGATCCACATACTATACAGAGTTTGTGAAATCTACACTTTCAAATCATAATATTCTCTATTTTAGGCTATTATATTTAGAAGCATGACTTCTCAAATCCTGTTATTACAAGTAGTTCTTGCACATAAATGTTATATCACAATAGCAAAAAAAATGTAAACTTCTTCTGCAAACTACATAAATACTATAATATCTGTCTTGAAGTTATTCTCATTTTAAATCAGAATACACTCTAAATATTTTACAGAGAAAACTCTGGTTGGTAGCCTATGTGTATGAAACATTATTTTTTCTTTCTTACTGACTTGTCTTTCATGTTGCCTACTTACGTCTCTAAAGGAGAAAAATTCAAAATAGAACCCAGATCAAAATTTAGTTCACATGTAAGCCAGATACCAGAAGGATGCCGTTAACCTTGGGAAAAATAAGAGATATAAAATTATTCTACATGCTCAATCCAACATGCCACCAGTTTGTATGGAGGTAACTGAAGATAAGGACTGGAGTCAAGCTCATATTTCATTCTATGTGGAAGGGATTCAGCCTGCTTATCAATACAGCTTTTACTCTGATGTATAGAAACATCTGTTTTCAAACGAACACCTCTTTCTCTTTTCTTGTACAGCACAACAGATCATTGCTACAGCTCTAGTCCTAGAGTGGAAAGTCTAGGTGGCCTGTGAATTGATTTCGCCTTCGCTGTCCTTCGAGTCTTTAAATGCAAAGTGAAGTTGTTTAAATACACACATGCACTCCCTGACATTCTCTTTTTTTTTTTTTTTTTTTTTTGAGACAGAGTCTCGCTCTGTCACCCAGACTAGAGTGCAGAGATGCGATCTTGGCTCACTCTGCAACCTCCACCTCCCGAGTTCAAGTGATTCTCGTGCCTCAGCTTCCCAAGTAGCTGGTACTACAGGCATGTGCCACCATGCCTGGCTAGTTTTTTGTATTTTTAGTAAAGATGTGGTTTCACCACGTTGCCCAGGCTGGCCTCAAGTGATCCACCTGCCTCAGCCTCCCAAAGTGCTGGGATTACAGGCATGAGCCAGCGTGCCTGACCTCTCTTCTTGATTCTTCACACTGTTCTTTGGTCCTCTTATTCCCCTGCCCCTTTGCTGAGTTTTCTCTACCTGCTCCTTAAACATTGGTGTTCTCTTGGCTTCTTTTTCTCTTACGGCAGGAGTATCAGCTGGATGTTTCATAGGCACTTCAAACTTCACATTCTCTTCTCCTTGTTTTCTGCATTAAACCCTTTACTAGCTCTCCACTGTTTTTCACCATCATGAGGGAAAACGAGAAATAATGTGGGCTGGTGGGAGGCAGTCTGGGGCGGTAACCCTGTATCTGAAATACTCTAGGGATCCATGTTTCTTTCAATAGTCAAACTAAGCATTCCCCAATCCCATCCCCAGATATCTTTGAATAAAATCAATAAAAATCAGTAAAAACAGGAAATATATATATATACACACACACACACACACACATGCATATATACACACATGCACGGAGGACCATACCAAGGTCTTTTTCAGGTCAAAAAGGGTTTTCACATTGACCTTTTTGTTATTTTTAAGTAAGTATTTTTCCTCAGAATGTTCCTTTAGTTAAAAATCAGGTTTAATCTGGAGCTCTTACGTAGATTTTTCTTTGATTCCTACTGAACACCTACCTACTGGCCATGGTTTCTTTGAGGAAAAAAATACCATTGCTGAAGCATTTCTAAACATTGTTAATGCATGCAGAAAGGACTACATGGACTTTCCAAGCAGCTATATAAGGTGGCTCAAGTAACATTATTATTTATTTTGGTCTAAGCCCTTTCATAACATCCTTTTAAAATACAAAGAGAATGGCTACGAAATGGTGCCAGAACCCAGAAGGCCCAGCCGGACTGACAGGAGCTCCGAGCAGTTCACAGGACAAGTAGGGACCCGCCGTACCTCTCCCGTTTCTGTGCTTTCTCTAAATGCACCAGGTCCTCTCTTTACTGCCCATGCTTTTAAACTATGAATAACAAATTTTAAAAGAAATCTAGCAGTGATTAATGGAGACGTCAAATAACACTGTACATGGGCTTTGTTAAGAGACAGGTAACCATTCTTAACAGCTCTTTTCCCAGAGGAGGCCTGGGTGGGCAGAGAGGCGTCCAGAGTTTAGGAGCTGCTTTTATTGCAGACTGTGCCTTGGCTAATACTATCCTCTATGTACTGGCTGCCTGTGTCACTCCTGCTGAGGACTGTGGAGGGGACGCGAGAGGGACGCCTCTCTGGGTTCTCCTGAGAGAAGCAGCAGATCATCTTCTTCATGGTGCCGTACATGTCCTCGTCCTTGTAGGAGTAGATGATGGGGTTCATGACGGAGTTGAGCAGCGCCAGCAGCAGGAACCACCTTTTCACGTGCTGCACACCACACTGCCTGCAATTCAGGCCATCGAGGAGCAGAACCACCAGGCCTGGGGTCCAGCACACCACGAATGCCCCTGCAAGGAGAGAAGAGGAAGCAACAGACGCTCAGACCTTAAGGTGCTGATTCAGGTTTTCTTCTCTCCCAGCCTTCAGTCAGTGGCATCAAGGGGCCCTCATGATTTGTTCTGACAACTGCAAGGCAAACTTCCACCTACCAACTGAGCATTTGAGACCTGCGCTTGGTACAGGCAAATAGCTGGGAACCTCCTTGACTATCAGTCACATTTCATTTCACTTTCTTTTCTGCTTACCCAGGTCTTGTGATTATGAGAGGCTCACATTTACATTCTGCTTAGGAGGCACTGCACATGCATGATCTCTGTTAGTTCTCTGAACCACACTGGGAGGCTGTTGCACTCATTACCCACATTGGACAGACAAGAAAAGCAAGGCCCAATTCTAGGGGGAGATGAGGGGAGAACTCTCTGACTCCAGGGCTCCTACACTTCACCCTACATTCTGCTGTTCTAGAAATCAGATTTTCTAAATGTGCTCTTGAAAATAAGACACAATGAGTCTATGGCGTCCTCCTAGTGGTTTAACTAAGTCACCTACTCATAAATTTCATTCTTCATAAATTCATGTGGATGCTTAGTAAGCACTATATTCTTTTTGATATATTCATGGGCCATCTGCATAATCGTCTGCTCTACATTTAGATTTTTTGGTCAGAAATAAATCTTTCATGATGAGATAGTTAAAAATCTACTTTTCAGACTCTATAATTGAACATGAACAGTAGTCTGTTCTGAGTCTCTAGCCGCAGGATCGTACTTACCTTACATCTAAATTTCATGATGTTTTTCTCCTATAAGACATGGATCTACTGTTTCCCTACTATTATCATAACCTCAGATAGCAATAACGACTAATCTTTATATAGCACTTACTATAAGTGAGGCACTGGGGCAAATGCTTTCGTTGATTAACTCACAGGACCACACTATGACATTGGCATTATTATTATCGCAAGGAAACTGAGGCACAAGGGAAGTTAAGTGACTTGTCTATGATCAAATAACTCTTAAGAGACACGATTTTGAACACAGGCCATCTTTCTCCATGGGCTGTGCTCTGGGCCACTATATGACCCGCCCCTATAGTATGATGTGGTTGCTTTTGTCGAACGTCCTTGTCATCTAAATGCACTTGCTTGTCCATTCATAAATATTCATCTGAAGCTTACAATGTGCCAGAAGCTGTACTAGACAGTGAGTGAGGTGAAGGCCATGCACTCAGGGAGCAAAAGTACTAACAGAGGAGATGACAAACAAGCAAGTCTATAGATGATATCACCAACTACTCTCCTGGTTAGAATTAGTTCTGCACAGCATTTCTCTTGTTGCTTTATCTTCCTTCTAAGAGATATAATACTAAGCAGGGTAAGCCAAGGATTATAGAGAGGCAGTGTAAGGGAGGGAACAGGCACGAGCTTTGGGGTCAGACACATATGCACAGCTCAACCTATGAGCGACCCGAATTATGGGAATTACTTCACTTTTCTCAGCCTCCATTCCCTCCTTTATATAATAAAGCTAATAAACCCAACCATGTGAGGTGGTGGTTGTGAGGATCAGAGGTCACGGAAAGTGGTACTCAACACTGTGGTGGGTTTACTGAGCAGCAGTTATCATGAGGTGCTTTGTTTCCACAAAAAAATATCCATAGGTTTAGTAGCTAGCAGGGGGGTTGAATTCCTTATTTCATAATTACAGTTCAGCAGTGGTTCCCTTTTTTTTTTTTTTTTTTTGAGACAGAGTCTCGCTCTGTCACCCAGGCTGGAGTGCAGTGGCCGGATCTCAGCTCACTGCAAGCTCCGCCTCCTGGGTTCACGCCATTCTCCTGCCTCAGCCTCCCAAGTAGCTGGGACTACAGGCACCCGCCACCTCGCCTGGCTAGTTTTTTGTATTTTTTAGTAGAGACGGGGTTTCACCGTGTTAGCCAGGATGGTCTCGATCTCCCGACCTCGTGATCCACCCGTCTCGGCCTCCCAAACCCTGTATTATTATTTTTGGTCTGGCTGATATATGTGAATAAAGAACTGGATTGGAGATAAGAGATCAGAGATTTGGGTCCTAATTCTTCACTTACTGTACAACTCTGGGAGACCCATGTCATCGCCCTGGGCTCGGCTTCCTCAGCTGTAAACTAAGGACTGACTTTAGGCTAGGTGTGAGTTTTTCTAGTGGTGGGGCAGAACTCGTTAGTGGGTGTGCAGTCAATGTGACAGGTTCAGACTGGTGTTTTGTTTTATTCAGACTGGTTTGAAACAAATGAAAGAATTTGATGGGAAGCCAAGTTTGGAACTACCAGCTTGAGAATTCATTTTAGTAAGTTTTTAGCCATACCACCTGATAATTGTGTCTGAGAAACAAGTAAAATTTGTTTGAGTTTTATGGAGAGTTAAAAGCCATAGTTTCACAGAATTCAGCAGTTTTCCTACTTGGAAAAGAGTTCGGAAGCGGCTTAGCCCTATCTTTCATTCATAGGAAAAAGGCCTTCCCTTCATACATCTCAGGACAATCCAGGCAAAGGAAATGCCCTGGTCAAGGGAGGCTCTTCACCTGCTGAACAATGGTTGCTTCTCTTAAATGCCTTCATTTAGGCCAGGCGTGGTAGCTCACACTTATAATTCCAGCACTTTGGGAGGCTGAGGTGGGTGGATCACCCAGGTCAGGTGTTTGAGAACAGCCTGGCCAACATGGTGAAATTGTGTCTCTACTAAAATGCAAAAATTAGCCGGGTGTGGTGGCAGGTGCCTGTAGTCCCAGCTGCCTGGAACGCTGAGGCAGGAGGATCGTTTGAACCCAGCAGGCGGAAGTTGCAGTAAGCCGAGATCATGCCACTGCACTCCAGCCTGGGCAATAGGGCAAGACTCCATCTCCAAAAAAGTATAAACGAAAAAAATATATAAATACCTTCATTTACTTGAAAAGAAGGATTGCATCCAAACTCTGCCTGTTATACTCTTCCATTTGTTTTGTGTGATCTTCTGCAATAGCCCAGGAAAAGTCTGTGCTTTCTCTATGTGATGTCCTTCAGGTTTTTGAAGACAGTTAATGCTTCGTGTCTTTCTTTAGCCTTTTCTCCAGGAGACACATACATAATTTTATCTACTGGTTCCCAGATGGATACCTCTGGACTCATTCATATTTGTTAATGCCGAGATTTTTTTTTTTTTAAAGTAATCTGGGCTTCACACAAACTCTTCTTTGAACCCTGCTGGTTCCCAGCAGTCATAGTCTGAGCATTGAGACTAAATACTCAAAAGACATTCCTTTTAGTTTTTTCTTATGGAATTTGTGCAGATTGGTAGGCAACTGACTGATACATATTTTCCAGGATTTATCACACACACACACACACACACACACACACACACGCACGCCCTCCCCTCACTTTTAAGCATTAGTCCAGTTACCTGTTTGAACGTTCCTGACATCTCCACATTCTCTATGAATTCTCCAAGACTACAGAGCTCAGGGTGTGGGGGTGTGTGGGGAGGTCTTATATTTAACTGCTGACATAGAGCAAAACCCCCCAAAGAATGAACTGTTGGATAAACTGTGCATCTCTTCCGAGATGTGTTTGGAGAGAGATCTTGGCCTCCAGGTGGAGGAGGCTTGGAACAACTGTGTTTCCCAGGGTCACTGCCGGGGAGCATCAGCTCAAGGCAACATCTCTGAAGCACCTGTTCTCTAGTTTAGCTATCTAGTATGTTTGGGCTGTTCTGTCAAAGAAGATTTGCCTTTTGTTGTTCACTGGAAACAGTATAAACATAAGATCGGCAAGTTTTTATTTCTCTTCTGATACCACGGCCAGCTGATCAGCCAATATTTTTGCTGGATTCCTTCCCTCCTTCCTCCTCCATCCCTCCCTCCCTTTCTTCCTTTCCTTGCCAAAAAAAAATAAAAAATCTTTCCTTTAACAAACCAAAGAATGATGTAATTGTGATATATGCAGCTTCATGGTCAGACACGACATACTACAGAGGGGCCCTTAAGTCCAGAGGTACCCTCCCACCTCTCCTTCACTCTCTTTAGTAATAAGATGCTTTATGGCCCACAGTCCAGCAGCCTAGCATAAAGACAGGAACATGGCTCTGGTGCCAGGCTGCCTGGGTTCAAATCCTGGCTCTTCCACTGATCAGTTGTGTGCCTTTGACCACATCACCTAACTTATCTGTGCTGTAGTTACCTCAGGTTTAAAATGAGGGCAGTATTAGTACCATTCCCAAGGGATTTATAAAAATCAAATGGATTGATTCATATACAATGATTAAAACAGCACCTAACACAAAATCATTGCTCAATAAAACGTTTGTAAGGTTTTAACTGAATGAATTATTTTATGTAATTCAATGAAAAGGGAAAATATGTAGAATTACCATACGACAAACAGCATCAATGTGAAGACTTATTTGGAGTGTTGGGTCATGTGATTAATTCAAAACAGAGTTTTGTGCTGGGGAGAAAACTTTCATGATAAAAAAATCACATCATTAAAAAATTTAAAAATCACATTAAAAAAATTCACAACTAATAATATGAGCGTGGGGTTTTAGGAAAACATTGGCAATGTATTTTTATCCTTTTTTGAGTGTGCGTGTGTGCGATGCACACTTGCAAGGGGGGTGTACTCTATTATTCAAACAAAACTACAAAAAAATTGTGAACTTTAAAAAACAATGCTTAAAAGAATAAAAAATAAGAATACCTGTTTATTTACCACCCAAGTTAAAGAACTTAAAGAAACTTAAAAGAACACTATTGTATCTTTAGAGCGTCCTGGGTGCCCACGCCAGTAGCCCTCTCTCCTGCTGAGATAAACATATCATACATTTTGGGCTAATCATCTTCTTGCTTTTTCTCATGGTTTTCCAATATATGGATGTAATGTTAGACATCATATTGTTTAGATTGATCTGTTTTTCAACTGTACCATGATTTACATTGGTTTTGGTTATCAATGCATTGGAATTCACTTCTAACATCTTATTTTGTTATTTGTTTCA